GTTTTTTTAGCCAGAGGTTCCAAAACGTGCCTTCCTTTTACTGGCCCAACTCATCCACGACTTTTCTGAACCGATGCGCTACCTTATTGCTATAGTTACCGTGCTAATCGTAGAGCACTACTGTCTGTATCCGGTTGCTCGGTGCCAGATAAAGCGGGTTCGATGCTTGGATGCTCCACTCTCTCTCGTCTTCGACGTCATCAGCCGAATCCTGAGTGCATCAACCGTGTTTGGTGAAACTCGGAATCACCGATCGTGTTACTTTTGTCTCTTCACCCGCCTGATCAGCACAATGGGCGAAATCGCCGAGCACAATGCAGGTTTCCCAAGCCGGTAAGCAGCTATCGTTGGACTCAGGGGACACACGGTACGGCTCTAGAATTTCCGTGGGCTTATTGCAGTTAGCCAATCTCGTTCACCAGCCCATGAGTACGTGGCACAAAATTATGTTTCAATGCGCCCATCGAAGCCCTTTGCCACCGGGTGATCAGCTGACGTTCGTGTTCTTCAGAGGCGCGTATAATGTGGCGTTTGAGTTACATGAATGCACTGTTTTTCATATACAGGCCCTTACTGTTCAGACTATTCGTTCAACCAATGACAACCCTTTTCTCAGGACTCATTGGCAGCCCATCACAAATGTCCGCACTCTTGTGAGTGAAACTGATACTACTAGAAAGGTTCTTCAGTAGGTGGAAATTCTAACGAAAAAAATTAGTGGGTCCATGATTATTGTGATCATTATGGGATTTCCCTCCATGGTCCTCGTTCGCTCACCGAGGAAGAGGAGGGGTTTCTGTTGCAAGCACAGCGTTTTCACACCGCCCTAACAGGTCTCCATATTTGACGGCCGTTCTGGTAACACTGACCTTCATAAGGTGGTACAGTTCTAAGAACTTTGTGCCAAGGCACTGAGTCCCGACATACTTGCTACATGTTTTCGGTGTTCACTTGTTGCACCGTTTATATCTGAACTTGTTTGCTAATTACTCACGTTAAGGCCGAAGAGGCAGTGAGTGTGGCGCCAGGGAGAATGACTACCTAGGGCCAAATTATTCCACCAGACGCTTATTTTCTTGATAGCAGTATGCAAACTCAAGATTCAACTGCCTATATGAGATCGACATATTTCACTATCCCTATACTTGTGTCATACACAATGTCTCGAAGCAAACAATAAAATCATGCCAGATAATTCGTTTTCTTTGCAACTATGTCATAACTAGGATGAAAATGGAAGGTACTCACCCTACGCTTTCAGTTTATATAGACTGTGGACTGTAATTGCTGCAAGGTTTGCCCCAAAGTAATTATCTTTTTCAGTTTACAATAGGATACGCGTGTGAGACATAATGATTTGAGACCAGTTGTGCTACGGATTTCGACAAAAATATCAACCATAAAGTAGTTCCCATCAACCGTTTTGTCTGCATCGATCAGCTGTATCGAATTCCCATGGCGCTTCACTTGAAATCGAACTGGATGAATTGCTGTGTCATATTTTGAAATCAAGGAGGAACATGTTCGTCCTTTAGGGTAGCTTTGTTTTTTTGAAAATGGACAGCACCGGGACAAGTCAGAAGAATTTGTGGTCTACCCCATTACACAGAACTTCGGTTGAGACTGCAGACTCAACTGGATCTAGTGCGAGGATCTCTTTTGTGATGTCCTTCACTTGAATGTGCTGCCACGAGCCGCCTGATGTATATGTGAGTTCGCTATTCCACACATCGCAGTATACTTGCTTGAAGGAAACTACTGATATGCTTGCTAAGCCTTGTTTCAAAACCCACAATTGATTTCATCATTCTTGGCACTCATATTCCTCAAGCTTCCTTCAACCTCGTGTTCTACTGGGTCGTCGTTCGATGAGTCGGGCACACCAATCAGATCGCTCAAGTGTGAACACGTTCGCCTGTTCAGACGCGATAATTCAGATGCGTCCAATGTGCGTTGATGGAGTAGTGGTTACACGCTCGCCTCGCATGTCAGATGTCCGGGGTTCGAATCCCCGCACGGCCATTGGATATGCACTGCTGATGAGCTCTAATAAGAGTGAAACTCGAGTCCAGTGCTTCCCTTTGGTGTGAACTCACCCAAATAATTACGCAAGAACAGGAACACGACCTGATAAGCCCCAAGAAGGGCGAAACCGGTCATGGGCTGTCGAAGAGTTTTCAGCAATCTTGTGAGTAGTTTCCTTTAGGACGACGACCGTTCAAACGAGAGTGGCGTGGCTATGAAAAAACCCAAATCGTTTCAAATTCGGCAAGAACTATCGTTCTTACACCCATTGGGCTCAAAATAAAGAAGGCCCGATTGAATGCTCCGTACCAACTGGAACATGACGCGACCTTTGCGCAGCGTGTTCGTTTGAATAGTTTCATAGGAAAGAGATTCATTTGAGTTCTCTAATTAAAAACAAAAAAGAACTTGATGAATTGCTTCCAATTTTTTGTTTCAAGTAGAACATGGAGTTGACGGAAACCGCGTCTACCAGGTGAGCCCCAAGAAGTTTAAACAAGCGGAAGATTTTTCAGCAACCTTGTGAGTATTTTCACTCAAGTGTACTTTAGTAAGAACTGGCTGGAATCACGATGCAGGATCATTGCACAAAATCTTCACATGAAAACCGCCGAAGCGTACCATCTGGACGACGAACACCGTTCCCACCTGAGAGGGATCCTTTGTGGGATGCAATTTGATCCCCACAAATAAATCCGAAACACTCAGCAGCCTTTGCTAGCAATGATGAAAAGCGGCAAGTTTCTGTGTTGAAAATTAATCCTTCAAGTAGTGTGTTAGGCAGAATTCCACACGGATCCCGCTTTACCGCACGCCTTTAGGCGCTGCTACGGCCGATAAGCCTGACGCGCACGAGATTGGCCAAGAATTCGGGACACTTGCCGGTCCGGCATCAAGACGAGATCTGACTGGTCAGAAATCTGGACCCAACAGCCAATCGTGACCCAGTAGTGGCTAAATGCCGGTTGCCAATGCCGCATCCAGAACGCGTCAGAACTTCCAGAAAGTTATAACTGCTTACGCTATATATACGAAGCGCTGTACAATTGCTCTTGACTTCGTTTTGGGCATTAATAGACCTTGCACAACTTTGGTGGTTGTTTTGACGTGAACGCTAGCTTCGGAGCTCAGACCGAGAACTAAGCTGAGGGAAAATACCGTTACTACATTGTCAATCCAGGGGCACTCAAGCTGAAAAGCCGTAAAGCCGAAAGGGGGTCAGACTCTCTGTCCTTTTGACCCAACACTAATCATAACGTCGTTCAAACCTTTTCAGCAGACCGTCACTAGTTTTGCCCATTTGGTAGGCCTAGCTCCCAAGCTTCCAGTAACCCCAGCTATCAACATTTCCATATAGTTAAGACTCCCTTTTTTTTTCTCGACCGGTCGTTCTTGCTCCAGAAACTCTTGTGTGGCTGAAAAGCACTTTTGGTGGCAAAGACCTCTTATCAATTGTATTTTGAGTAGACCACCTAAGTTCCTAGAACTTTTATCAGAACATACCAGACCACAATGGAAAGTTCATACGTGACTGGCGTCAGAACAGAGCACCAGGCTCATTAGGTCTCGGGATTTCTACAGAAGAAAGAAAGATTTATATTACACAGAGTGAGTTGGGTTGTTAACGCAACTTGCTTTCCTGAAAACTCAAACAGCTTTTATGAATTCGCGGAATTGGTTTTCTAACAAGCTGATCAGAAAGCTGGATTCCGGGCAACGTGAACACGAAGATACTCAATTTACGAAAATTCAGTTGAAAAGATAGTCGTTTTTGTCCACAAAACAAATCACACAGCTTACTTACTAGTAGTCGGATAATGTAAGACATACACAGTGTGAGACAAACGATCAAACCGAGCAAACCGGTACTAGTTCACTATATTCGCACCGGATTCTGACACTAGTTAAAGTGTGGGAAACTATATGTGAATTCACAGTTGCCTCATTACATGCACCATCTTATCAGTCAGCGTTCCACAAATCCTAACGCAGCCACATCTATTTGTGCTCGAGGCTACGACATCAATGGTCGCTCTCTTCTCGGGCGAT